TCAGTTTGGCAGCACTGGGATGCTCCCTACCTGTCTCCTGGTGGATGGACTAACTGGTGGGAATGTGTGTGCAGGTTGCTGTTGGTGTGAAGATGAGCTAAAGGTGCAATGAGCAGGTGTTGTCCACCATCTATCATTGATCCAGTGGTGTAGGAGTGGGCCATTGGGTGAAGGAATATGTGGTATGTGTAGTAGGGAAATAATGACCACCTCCCATTGGATGGGACAGGGAAAAAAGAGGAGGGGAATATAAGAAGAAATGTGTATACAAGTAAAAGAAGAGGAGGAAGAGGCAAAAACAAATGCATAAAATGGAAAAAGAAAATGGGGGGGAGGCTGGTTGGCTGGTAACAGTGGCAACAGCTGGCTGTCTCACTATTGGTGGGAACATGTTCCCATGGAAGGGGCAGTAACCTGGCATGTACATGCACCTCCAACAGCAGAGGCCATGGTGTACGTATCTTGTGTTCTATGAGAGCAAGACTTGTCAATCACATAGGCACCAGCAAGTAGAGCATGAAGATATTTGGTTCTGTCTGCTTTGGGTGTGGTGCAATGAGTGGCTGTGGTGAGGGGAGGTTATCCCAGGAACCAGGCTGTGGCGGCACAGAAAGAGAACTATATCTAACCATCAAGTTGGTGGGGACAAGAAGGAAACTCACTGGGAAGGTGTGATGGGGAAAGAGGGAAAACACACTTCTCCCATTGTAGTTCACTGATGTGGGTCCAATGTACTTCTGGGCACATGTAGCCAATTACTGAGTTGCCCTGACTCAACCAAGAGTAGGGGGCAACCCAGAGTCTAGCATCTCCATCACCACCGCACAGACTTTCCCTTTTGTGTGGGTCCTCAACCCAAATGATTAGCATTCACTAGTAGTGAGTTGTTTCATCCCCCTTCAGTGGTTCCCTGCTTGCTCTGCAATCACCTATGCCACAGGGAATCTCACTCATTTTCTTGCACTTTCGTCTCCCAGATCTAGCTCATACTCTGCTCACCTTGTTTCACTTCAGATCTGTCTACACTGTCTCTCTGTCCTAATGTGAATTAGTGAAGTTGGTTTCTCTTCACCTGTGTATAATGCCTTTTGTGTCTCCAAATGGTCACACTTCATTGATCCCTGGCTTCTCCTCTTTCCCCAGTCACTGTTCTCCTTCTCCCTCTGTTTCCCTTTCTAATTGGCACTCAGTCTAATTCTTTATCCTTTCATTTGATGCTCAGATTTCCAGGATTATCATCTGTATCTGCATTCAGTTCTTGAGGGTCTGTATTGTAGAGGGATTGCACAAAGTGTGTCACCAGGATGCCTTCTTATTTCTTTCTTGAGTTAAGCAATTTAAGTGAGTTAAAGATGCAATACAAAGCCAAAAATATTTCAGTGAATTTAATAAACTTGGAAAAGTGACTGAAAGTCACCACCAAAATGCAAGGGAAATGTCAGAAGACAGCACAGAGCAAATGTTCTAGCTTTCAATAGAGAAGAAGAGAGGGAAAAGACTTACAGAAACTGGAGGCAAGTATATTATTCTTAACACCTCATGTAAAGTCCTCAAATTAATTATTTATAAGGAGTTACTAAACATTTAGAAAAAGACAATATGATTATCAAAAGTCAGCATAGACAGACTTAAAAAAAATTCATTAAAGCTAAGCCAATTCACTGTAGTGGCAGTTTGTGATTGCTGGTGTGGTGGTGATCATTAGAAATACCAGTTTGAAAATATCTCAATCACTATATTCTTCTCAGTCTTGGAAGACATTCAATGAAATCACAGAACTGCAAATATATTTGGAACCTTATCAATAATTTATCCCAAATTTCTAACCTATAGAAATTTTTGTGGTTATTTATTTATTTATTTCTATAACAGTAATTGGTGCTTGAACATAACAAAAGTTAATCCATTTCACTTTGGAATGATTTGAAATGTATTGCTGAAAATTTGTTTGCATATAAAGGTAAACTATTGATCCTACTTCTTTTCTCTTCATCATTAAAAGTCTAATCTTCTCACATAATGCCTTTTAAGTTTTCATACTCTGTCATGCTAAACATATGGAAAATAGGGAGCTATGTTTGAGTATTTAATTTTGATTGAGCAATCATATTAAAGAGGTCTAATTAGTAGCTCATTGTCGAGTAGACTGAAGTATTGTCTCTGTTTACTTTCTGTTCATTAAAAAAAAAATCTGTGTTAAGATCAAGTGATTGCCCAGCCCAAAGATGAAACAAGGCTAAAGAAGACCCACGTTGGATGATTTAAGCTAGATTTACTGAAAGCATTAACAGGATATAGTAACAGATTGGTGCTCTGGTGGTGTAGTGCCTAAGGCATTTGACTGCTAACTAGAAGGGTGGTGGTTCAAACCCACCAGCCACTCTTAAGAAAGAAGATGGGGCAATCTACTTCTATAGTGATACTGCCTTGGAAACCCAAGGAGGGGTCACTATGCATCAAAATCTATTTGACTATATTACAACAGCAGTAATTGATTGGAACTAATATATTTTAACAGCAATAAGTGCAAATGTTCAAAATAAGACATCCAAAATTTTCTGTATAAGTAAAAATGACATCAACAGGTCAAGTGAAAACTACTTAGAGAATTTAATTGATGAGAAGCTCATAATGAGTGAGATAAGGTGTAATAGTATCTGAATGGACTCCTTTAAAGCAAGCATGACCATTATTTCCACTGGACTTATGCTAGCCAACCATACAGGAAGCATTAGTTACTGTTCAAGTACACCAGTAAACTAAAAATTGTCTTGAGAGGGCGACTAGGGTGGTTAAGGATTGGAAATGACTAGGAAATACACTGAAATAAACTTATGAAGCTTAGCACCAAATGAAAAGCCTTGGGATGGGAGTAGGGAAGCAAAATTCTTTTAAAGAGTTAGAAGGTTTATTTTGCCCAAGAAAACAGCATTAGTACTACTTTATGGAGTTTGAGGAGGAAAGAGAGGTGTAGAGAATTCATTGGAATAAAAAGAACTTCCTTAAACAATAGATGTAGTAAAGGCCCTTCACTAAGAAAAAGTCAAGCCCACTCCTCAAGGGTGTTGTTGGGGGTGTGGTCTTCGCTAATTGGAAAGGATGTTAAGTCAACTTTAATGTCCCATCCAAGGGCTTCAATGGATCTCTTCAAAAGAACATAGTTTATAGGCTGGTGGCTCACGGCTAAGGAAGAGGATTCAATATTGGGCCCATTCTGTTGCTCTATGAAATATGAATAGTGAGAATTTCCTGCAACCGGTTCACTTACAACCAGCTGTTATGCTGCGGTTCCCTTTTGAAATATCAGTGCTACGCTACCCCTGAACAGGGAGCGGGCAATGAGAAGAGAGGAGAAAGACACTCTTGTGTTAATCTTCCATTTCAGTTCCAAACATTCCTAATCTGTTATGTCAATTTGAGTTTATAATTGAATTTAAAGCTTCAAGTTTCCCTTTCAGAGATAGGGTGGGGGACTGAAACAGCTGCTAAAACTAGGGAGTGGCTAATAAATAGTTGCAAGGGGGCAAGCCCAATCTGTTTTTAAACAACAACAATAGAAGTGGTTTAAGCAAGAGGGAGGACAGCAAAGGGGGAGGGAAAAGGAGCCCTACTTTGCCCCCACCCCCAACACCACACTTGGTCTGACAGTTGGCTCACTCCACTGAGGGAGGAGATGAACATAGAAACAGGTGCGCCCCACCCCTACTCCCATTTCCCCATTTCTTGCTGCGTCCGGTGTGCCAGAAAACAATTAATCAAGGCCAAAGACTACACAGGGAGAACAGGAGGGGATGGGGTCCAGGAGAAAACCCAAGAGTCATGTACTGTGTACATTGCAGATGACATCATTGCCTGAAAGAAATTTAACCTTCCCCTTCCCGGAGATGGATGCAACCATGTCTGTGCCAGAGCAGGAGTGGGGTTGCCTAGAAGGTGTGAAATCTGTAGCAGAAGGAGCACCCATGCTTGGGAGAGGTGTGGGGGCGTGAGAGGAAGACCTGGAGAGAATGTGCAGGGATATTGCGGGGCTGGAGGCTTTTGCACCGCCCAGGGCTCCGCCCCCCGCTGGAGACCAAGCTCGGCCCTGGGAGGGGCACGCCAGTTTGGGGGTGGGGAATGTGTGCGCGAGGGGGTGAGTCTGTGGTGGCGGCTGAGGAGTGGGCGGAGAGCCGCCTGCGCATGTCAAGGTTGATCCGGTACTCAACGCGAGGCGGGGACCTGGAGAGGGGCAACCGGTCTCCAGCCACCGAAGGTCCAGGCACCTCACGATCTGGGAGCGAGCTCCAGGGGAGGGGTTCACCCTTCCCACCAACCCTCATTTCTGACTTCGCCAGCCAGACAGGAGCCTCCGCCTCCTTCCCGGCACCTCCGGGCCTCCCCGGGGAGCCGAAGACGGGTGTGGACGGGGCCGACGTGGAACGACTTCTCCAGCTCAGACGGGCGGCCCTGGTGGCTTCGGGTGTGCGAGACACGCCCAGCTGGAGAAGCCAGCCAGGGCAGATGCACCGGGATCTCTCGGGTCTCGGTGGATTTTGGTCGGGGCGTAGCTGTTCGTAGGGGAGGAGCGGTGGATAAACAAGGACCCCTTCGACAGCAGGGCCACTAGAGTCTGAGCTATTCCTTGCTTCCCAGCTGAGCTTCCCTAAGCGCAAACGAGAGAGGGCCAGGGAACTAACTGAAATTCCAGGTAGGCGGGGAGGATACTGTCCGTGGTGCTGACCCGGATCCCAGTCGGGTTCGGTGAGCGAGCGTGGAACTGCTGAGCCGCTCCAACCAACTGTGGCAGTCGACTTGGGTAGCTTCAAGCTGAAACTCCCTGTCCAGCTCCAACAGCCCGCAGACCTTCCCCAGTCTCGGGCGTTTGGCCCTTCCGTCAGTCAAAAAGTCGCCCCCTGGGGGCAGTTCGTCCCGAAGGGTTTCCTCGAAAGTATCTGAGAGGGCTCATTTCTTGACCGAGGGAATCTTTCTATTTAGTCCTGGGAATCCACTAGCTGGAAAGGATGCCTGCCTTCAACAGATTGTTTTCCCTGGCTTCCCTGGTGCTCATCTGCTGGGGTAAGTAGCAGCACCCTGCCGTGCAAAAAGCAGATAACAGTTATAATGCTAGCAATAATAACACGTATTGATGTCTGTGATAGCAAAAAGGAGTCCCGGTTAGCTTCTCTCTGTGCATCTCTGACAGACAAGGGGAAATCTAGAGGGATTCCATGAAAGCTAGGATTTTGAGATGGGAAAGACGCCTCCACCCCGCTGCTTTCTTCCGCAACCTCCCATGGTGGTTCTTCCACCTCTCCTCCAATTTCCTGACCATTCCAAATAATTTCTATTTATTCATCTATTTATTTTACTTTCCCTTTGCTGAAAGGGAATGCAGTCACGTTCATTACGAAAAAAAAAAAAAAAATTCTTGGTTGCAGTTCCATCTCATTCTTAATGAGGAGCCAATACTCCTGGCAGCCTTGCTGTATCTTCAAATCAGTTTCCTTACATTAAAAAAAAGAAGAAGAAAGAAAGCTAGATGCATGCATTTTGAGTGTTTGAAAATGCTTTAGTTGTAGATCCATCTGCTTCATTTGAATAATGAATGGAAGAACAGGTTTCAGCTATTTGCTGCTATGTATTTAGTAAACAGGAAACAAGGAATTGGATTTTTTTTTTTTTTTTAACATGTGGAACTAAGGTGCTTTGGTATTTGTGGAGCTAGATGCTTTGCCTCTGAAGACAAATAGACTCTTGTTTGTCTATTGTTGAGAAACTAGGGTGACTTTCTCCCTGCAAGTATGGGAGTCTTGCACTTGCAAAAGTAGCACTAAGCTAGGATGGTGTCATAGATGGGCTATTCTAGAGATGGGGTCCCTGGATATATGTAAAAGGGACTTAATGAGTCTATGTAACAATGTCTGAATATGTGATAAAGAGAGTGTTTTACTGTTTATCGATGTATCTCTCAGTGTCTGAATGTGTGCTAGTGTACACCTGAGCAGGTTAATATAGGCATCTGAAAGCATTGGTGAGGATGTGATTGTGTGTGTAGTGTGTGTGTGTGTGTGTAGGTCTTGTTATCTCTTTGATTAGGTCCTCACATCATATATAGGTATTATCCAATTGATATATTGCTTTGCATGATTTTAGTTACCTTCTTCCATACTAAAATAAATAACTAGCATAATTTAGTATGATTATTCCCACCTGCTTTGTTGAAACTAGACATTCTCCTATGAATGGAATGAAACTCATTCTGTGTGTGCAGTGGCAGACATGCTGATGGGAATTGTCTCCTTGCCATTTGGTATCACTTTGTCAAGCCTCCAGGACTGACTCTGGCTGCCAGCATTATCTGGATTTTGCATGTGACCAGAGGCAGAGCCAAGTTTCCTGTGGAACAAAATGCCTGATGGGCTAGGAAGAGAAAGGAGGAAAGGTAATGTCAGCCCCAAGGGCAGACTCACTGCCATCCATCCCCAGTAGAGTAGACCAAGCCTAGAGATGAAGCAGACATAATAGGTTGCCAATGATCTCACCTACCTTAAAGACTTAAGGCTGAGAGTTCCTTAGGGGAGGCTAAGACTAGGGACATGAAGCTTAGGAGAGGTTAGTCTGGCTGGATAGGAGAGAATATAGGAAAAGCAATAGAGATGAAGTTGTAGAAAGGGTTGGGGTAATATTCTTCAGAGCCATGAATAGCTTCCCTAACCCTCAATGTTTCCTAATCTAAACTTGTAGCATGCCTGCCTGAATTCTTATGGAGGGGATAGCATGCATCTTTTGTCCAAGGCTTGAGGAGCCTAGCTTGAAATCTTAGTTCTGCCACTAGATCACTATGTAATAATGTCAGAGCCTTAGCTTCCTCTTTTGTAAAGTAAGGAAGTTGGAGCAGATGACCCCTTTCATCTCCGCCATAGAATGGTAGGGAAATCTTTACAGAGTATTGCTAGAATTGGCAGAGTGCCTGGTCCCACTGTACCCCCATGCACGCTAAAAACCTTTGGAAGAAGTGTGCATATTACACACATCCTTACTCAGTCTCATCTGTTTTGTAATATGAACATTAGTTCACCAAACCCAAAAGCTGAAGAGGAAATGAGAGTTGGCTCAGGAAAAGCTAGCTGTTAAATGTAAGGGAAGGAGTGCTGCTTCACAAATGCCATTTCATTGTTTATGCACATAATTCCAGCATGGAAAGCACTTAGCTTAGTTGCAGTCCCCCTTCCCAAGTTGGTTTTCCACATGATCCCCAGTATAAGTGAAAACAGTCTTCTCTATTGTTTTATTTTTTGCATGTACAAAAAATATATTCTTCTATTGCCTTTAATGAAATATATTTTCTTTTTTTTAAAAAAAAAAATTTACACTTGCCTGGTATTTTACATTTTGCAAAGCAATTTTTAATCCATGACTTGTTTTGATCTCCATAATAATTCCACGATATAGTCAGAGGAGGTAGTATTCTTTCCACTTTAGAGATGAGAAAATGAGGTTGGTGGTATAAAGGACTTACTCTTGTCTCTTGATTTTGGTCTTCCAGTGCTCATTTTCACACATCTGGTGGATACATGTTGTGGTAGTTAAGGTTATGTGTCAACTTGACTAGGCCTGCTTTTGATTGGCTGGGAAGCTGAATGTAGTTATTCCCCCTGATGATACTGGTAAGCAATTCCATGATGGAATCTACTGTGAGCAGCTTAGTTAACTGCCTTAGTATAAAGAAGAAGCTTTGAGAAAGGTCTCTAGCTTTTTGGCACATCTGGATCCTTCATTTGGCCAAGTCTTCATCCCAGTGGCCTGCCACGTTGTCTGCCAATCTTGAGACTATTTCTGAACTTGAACTAGTGGTCTGCTTTGTTGCTTAATGATTTTCAGACTGTGCCATTTTACTTGTCAACCTTGGGTTTGTCAGCCTCAGCAGTCAGCAGCTGCCTGAATTAAGAGAAGCCTCCAGCTTCAGTGGGCTAGGAACAAGAGGTCAAGCTTTCACCCAGTACCTAGAGTTTGGCACTTTGAACTCAGACTTCTAGCCTCCTAAACTGTAAAGAGAATAAATTCCTGTTTGTTAAAACCATCCAGAGAACTAAAACACATGTACTGCTATGTAAAACTGCCAAGCAGGCATCTGTCCTCCCATCTTGATTGGGAGCCGCCATAACCTCAATTGTCTTTCCTAGGCCCTCATCTATTCTTTAAGTTCCTAGAGCTTCTGTGCTCTTCCTCTCATGTCTACCCTTCCAGCTGTCCCCTGTGTTCAGGAATATTTCCCACTCTTCCCTCAGCAGCTCTTTCTGAATCTCATTTCTTCAGTGCCCTACTTGATTTACTAATCTAATAGACCAAGTCATCTCAGGGTGCTAATATCTAAAAGTAGGTTTATTTATTATCCCCTCTTCTTGTTGTTGTTGTTATGTGCCGTTGAGTCAGCCCCGACTCATAGCAACCCCTCCTTGGGTTTCTGAGGCAGTATCACTATGGAAGTAGATTGCTCAACCTTTCTTCCAAGGAGTGGCTGGTGGGTTTGAACCGCCAGCCTTCTGGTTAGCAGTCAGGTGCTTTAGGCACTATGCTACCAGAGCTCCTATCCCCTCTTAGAAAGTATTTATATTATGACCCAAGCTTTCATTACCTTGGTACAAAGGAAAGCGTTCTAGAGCAGGCTCAGGAAGGGGCATTTGCAATGCCCAAGGAAGCAAAAGATTTAAGGACAGTAGAGAAGATTGTTCAACCTATGTTACTATCTACCTAATAACAGATTGATCTATTCCTTAGTTGGAATTCGTGACTGGTGCAAAGCGTTAACATGCACGGCTGCCAACTGAAGGTTGGAAGTTTGAGTTCACCACCAAGCACCAGAGAGAAAGGCCTAGTGGGCTACTTAAAAAAAAAAAAAAAATCAACTATTGAGAACCCTATGGAGCACATATGAGGTTTCCATGACTCAGTATCAATTTGACAGCTATCGGTGCTGGTATTCTTTAGTTAGATATAGCCATCATATTCTTCCTTATTCCTCTTAAATTTTCCATAATTACTTTGAAAATTGAAAAGGAGACTGAAGATCTAATGACTTGGCCAATACTATTCCACGAGTCTATCATTCAGTGTCAGCAGTGTTGGTTGAGCATCTATCATATGAACAAGCCCTTCTTGGATGCATAAATAATTTCCTAGAAGTAGAGTAGTGGTGTGCTGGACCCAAGGTCCCTGGGTGGTACAAACAGTTTGCAGTTGGCTGCTAACCAAAAGTTTTGTGGTTTGAACCTATGCAGAGGTGCCACAGAAGAAAGACCTGTCAATCTGCTTCTGAAAAGATTACAGCTATGGACCTCAGTTCTACTCTGTAACAAATGAGGTCACCATGAGTATGAATCAACTGAAAAGAAATGAGGCCTGCAGTCAGCTTGCACTCACTCACAAAAGGCATGTTCATGTCTCTTCCTAATTCTATGTTCAGTCACATTGATAGCTTGATATCAGCTTTAGTGGGTGTATTTACACCACAGAGATTGGCAAACACTACAAATCAGGGCCTTTTCTCCCCTCAAAGAACTCAGAGGGATAAATTGAAACATTTTTCAGGACACCACTGCATAGAGGGAAGAATGCTGCCTTCATTTAAACATAAATAAATAAATAAAATAAGAATTAGAAATATACTTATGAGAAGCACCTAGAAAAAAAGGACAGAAATAAATCCAGGTGTTCCAACACAATGTAGTAGATTGAACACAACTTTTGGAATCAGGCTGTCCTAAGTTCAAATATCTACCCACATGATCTTCAGAAAGTTGTTTAATCACTTTGACACTCAGTGTCCTTATCTAAGGTGGGATAATAGTAGCTACCTTTCCACCAACTTATTGTAAGTAATAAGTGAGATAATGTATGTAAAGGGGTTGTCCCATAAGCAAGTCTTAATGAGTAATAGCTATAAATAATAATAAGGTTATATCAGTTATGGCCATCATCAGGGCTAAGGGTCAGAGTGGTAGGGTGACAGAAAGAAAGAGTAGAATCATTTTGTGAAAGGATGAGTAGTTCTGCTTTTAGGACTAAGGTCTCTTATGTGTGGCTGTGGGGGAAGGATGGTGGAAGGGATGAACCCATACTTATCTGTTTCCTGTAGTTGCACACCAAACTACCTCAAAACTTAGTGCCTTACAATGATCAACATTTCAATTTCTCATGAGTCTGTGGCCTGGCTCTGCTGGGATTGGATCATGTGTCTGGAGCATTGACCACAGTGACTGGGGCAGCCAGGGCTTCACTCCATGTGGTTTTTCACGGTCTAGCAGAGTAGCTCAGGATTGTTCTTGTTGTGGTGGAAGGGTTCCCACAAGGAAGAGAGAGCAACTCCAATATGCAAGGCCTTTTCAAGCCTCTGCTGGCAACACATCTGTTAATGTCCCATGAGCAAAAGCAAGTAACATGACCAACTCTAGAAAGAGACATACTGCAAAAGGCATGCAAACAGGGATGGAAAGACTTTGTGGCCACATTGCAATATACTATCCAGGACTTCATGAGCAAACTTCACATGCTTTAAAACTGGATTTTTGCCTGGAGAAGAGAAGCAGTGGGGTCTGCTCTCTGGTTCTGCCTTGGGAACTCAGGAGTGAGAGAGACTACTCTACATTGCGGCCATTCCACATTCATGATCCAGACTACATGTATTCCACCTTTCCCTCATTTAGCTATGAATTAATTTACTGTGCTCCTCATAAAGGTCAACTCACATACTACAGAACATGTCCTCTCACCTAGTCAAGGACAGAAATCCAATACGTTATTTGCTTTCCAATCCCAACGCCTTCACTACCACCGTCATCCAAGCAAAATCGTCTTTCAGTCTGATCACTGTATCAGCCTCTCAACTCTTCTTCATTCTTCCTTCTCTCCCCTGACCTCTTTAGATTATTCTCAACACAGCAGATTATATACTTTTGTATAAAATCAGATTGTACCATTATTCCACTCAGAACCCTCTAGTGCTCCCCATTTTACTCTAAGCAAAGGTTAAAGTCCTACCTGTAAAGGACCTCTGGTGGCGTAGTGCCTATCGCCTTTGACTGCTAACCAGAAGGCTGACGGTTCAAACCCACCAGCCACTCCTTGAAAGGAAGATTGGACAATCTACTTCTGTAGTGATATCACCTTGGAAACCCAAGAAGGGGTTGCTATGAGTCGGATCCGACTCAATGGCAATAAGTTTTTTGTTTATGGCCTGTAAGACCTGCCTCCATGATCTGGCCCTGGTTTAGCTCTCCTACCTCATCTCCTTCTATTCTCATCATGGTCACTGTACTTTTACATTGAGGTCCTTGCTGTCTCTTAAGCCTTAAAAACACACTCCCACTCCAGGCCTCTCAAGTTTCTGTTTCCTCTCTTTGGCATGCCTTTCCCTAGATGTTTAGCTCACATCCCATTGCTTTCCTTCAATGCCATCTTCTCAGTGAGGCCTTCTTCAGTAACTCTGTGTATGCACTGTCTCCTCTGTTGTTGTTATTGTCTGCCATTGGACTCATAGCAACCCTATATACGACAGAGTAGAACTGTCCCATGGGGTTTCCTAGGTTGTAATATGTACAGGAGCAGATCACTAGGTCTTTTCTCCCACAGAACTGCTGGTGGGTTCCAATCACCAACCTTTTGATTAGCAGCTAAATGCTTAACCATTGCACTACTAGGGCTCCTCTTTTGTCTTCTCTTCTCTATTTTATTTTTTCTTATGGCACTTACTACAAATTAATATTATTTATTTTCTCTCTATCCCCCATGAGAATGTAGACTCTAAGAGCAGGGATAGTTTCTGCTTTGTTCCCTGTTGTATTCCAGTGCCTAGAACAGTGCCTGTCACACAGTAGGCACTCAGTATATTTGTTGATTAAATGAACAAATAAATGAAGGATAAAAAAACATGAATAAATGACATTTTTATAAAGCACATTCACATAAATTATTCCATAGAATTCTTATGGCTAGTCTGTTGTTGTTGTTGTTATGTGCCATGGAGTCGGACCCAACTCATAGCGACCCCTCCTTGGGTTTCCGAGGCAGTATCACTGTGGAAGTAGATTGCCCCATCTTCCTTCTGAGGAGTGGCTGGTGAGTGTGAACCGCCAGCCTTCTGGTTAGCAGTCAAGTGCCTTAGGCACTATGCTACCAGAGCTCCTGGCTAATCTATTAGATAGGTATAATTTTCAACATTTTGTTGATGAATAAACCGAGTCTCAGAAAAATTAAATAGTAGAGCAAACCCAAGCCTTCAGTTACTAAATATTGTAGGACATTTTCCTGTTCTGCTTTCAAAGTCACCATCATTGAATGGGCTCACCTTTACCACTTCTCCTTCAATATGAATGTTCCCCAAGGCTCTCTGCACATTCTCTACCCCTGCTATCCATTCCCAAATGTTTGTGCAAACCATGCCTTCTTCTTCTTCTTCTTCTTTTTCACCATACCTACAATCAAGACTTTAGACTCATCATATGCTGAGGATATTCCTGATAGTTTCTCCCTACATGAGGTCCCGCTACTAGAATGATGGTCCACATGCAGGGACAGGAGGCCCTCCTGCAGACTACACATAAGACCCTGTACCATCTTGTTCTCCTGTGCACATATACTCATTGAATAACTCCTTTTTGCAAACTATGACACCCTGAACTGATCATAATGGTCCAGATTTGTTCTGAACAGTGAGGAGGCAGAGTTCCTCCTTTGTTCTACACAGTGTACATCTGTTAATGCAGCCCACATTTGCACTTGCTTTGTTGGCAGCCTTGCCTCACTTTTGTCTCATTCTGAATTTGCAATCTGGTATACTTGCCTTTTGTTATGGGTGTATAGGCCATAAACTGTAAGTCCAAGCCTCCATGTGGCATGCAAGGTGTCTCAAAATGGGACCTCCCTCCAGACTTTTTACTTTCTCTCTCTCTCTACTCCTCTGTGTAAAGCACTGCCCCCGCCTACTGATAAGCTCATTGTCTTCCTCATTGCTACTCCATCCTCTATCACACAGCAGAATCACCTACGTTTTCCATAAAATAGATATAATTACATCTCTTCTGGCTTTAAAGCATTCAATACTTAATATTGTGAAGGACATATAGTGATTTTCATAACATGGCTCCTATCTACCTTTCAACCTCATGTCTCACCATCTTTCTCTTTCTTTCTAGTCCAACCAGAAATAAGAGCTCTTCCTTTGGAACAGAGCATACCACTAACATGTTGCTTGCATTATTTGGTTTAATTATAGTTAGGAATGGGTGTTTCCCTACTAGATTTTAAAGACCTTTAGGGCATGGTTATTGCTTTGTCCATCTTTGTATCTTTAGTCTAACACAGGACCTGGAATAGAATAGATTTTCAGATAATGTTTATTGAATGATTGGATGGATAGATGGATGAATGGGTATGTGGATGGTGAATGGATGGCTTTTATTACATGTCTATGGGTCATCCATGTCTGCTCCATCTTAGTCTGTGACTGTTCTGAGGGGACTCTGTCCATATTGTATACTCAGGGAGCACAGGGGAAGGTGGAGGTACATGCATATGGCTATTTTCAAATTTGTCTCATTCTTCTTCCTTTTCTGTCTCCTTTCTCCTCTCCTTTTCTCCCTTTCCAATGCCTCTCTCCTGCTTCCCTCCTCCCCAACACCTTCCATTCCTTCCTTGTCATCCGTCCTCTCTCCAGTCAGTGTCTGCTTCTCTGTGTGTGTGGAGGTGCCCTCAGAGACAGAAGCCGTTCAGGGCAACCCCATGAAGCTTCGCTGCATCTCCTGCATGAAGAGGGAGGAGGTAGAGGCCACCACGGTGGTAGAATGGTTCTACAGGCCTGAGGGCGGTAAAGATTTCCTTGTATGTATGACTGCTGACTCTGGATTTTGTTTTGCTGATCTCCACAATTCTTGCCTGGTTCCTGAAAGTCTAGGGGATAGCATTTATCAACCAACCACTGGCTCCCTCATTGAAGCATTGACAGCTCCTCAGAGATAGCTGACAGCCTTTGTTGAGCCCAGCCTCAGTGAAAAGAAAGGCACTTAGCCAGCTGCAAGCACCCCTGGTTACAAGCATGAGGGAGGATGAGAACGAAATATACAGTCTTTAGAGCCTACTATGTGCTGGTCACACTGCTAAACACTTTGCCTGTGTTTCATTTAATCTTCCATACCATCTTATTGTTGTTGCTGTTATGTGTCATCAAGTTGGACCCAACTCATAGCGACCTCTCCTTGGGTTTAGGTGGATTAAATTAGTAGAGAAATTGAAATAACTGTAAGCATCATTAATGAGATAACAAACATAGGTTATATCATTTAACTTTCACAATCCCATTGAATAAGAATGACAGGGATGACTAGAGCTGATGCTCAGTTGGTAAACCTAGTACAGCCACATCAGTGGCTATACTAGTGACTATAGCAGTTAGTTATAGAGCAATCTAAATAGTTTACCCACTGATGTGGCTGTACTAGGGTTACAACCTAACTGTACACCATAAGGAGCTCCATAAGGAGCTTTGGTGGCATAATGCCTAAGACATTTGACTGCTAAGCAGAGGTTGGTGGTTCACACCCACCAGCCACACCATGGAAGGAAGACTGGGCAAGTCTTACCACTTTAGAAACCCAGAGGGGGTCGCTGAGTTGGAATTGACTTGGTGGCAGTAAGTTTGGTTTTTTTGGCATAGCAGTTAGTGGATATTTATGCTAAACCACACAGGGGACCCCACCAATATCCTTCCCACCCCACCCCCTTCTCTAAGAATCCCTAGACTTCCCCATAATCTCAAAACTAAGGGATTAGCCACTAGCAGAACAGGGGGCCTGTGAGACTTTATTTCAGCACCATGTTGTTGTTATGTGCCGTGGAGTCAGACCCGAGTCATAGCCAATATCCATTCTGATTTGTTGGTGCTGCTGCCAAAATGATTGCTCAATATTTTGACAACCACTTTGGAGATGACCATTATTCACACATTCACTGGCTCTGAAGCCTGATTGTCTGGGTTTGATTCTTGACTCCATAATTTATTAGCTCCTTTTCCTTGGACAAATTACCTAACGTCTCTGTGCCTCAGTTTCCTCATTTCTAAACTGAAGATATAAGCCATAGCTACCTCATATGGTTGCTATGAGTATTTATGAGCTATAATTTTTATTGCATTTAAAAGAGTGCCTGGAGTAAATAAGCAATAGAAGTGTTTGCTAGATTGTTATATATGTATAACATATAGTGAAACCTGTGAAATCTGGAATTACATGACACTGCTTTGTTTTCTTGGTCTTGCAAGTTTTCTGCCTTTGACAGTGTGCAGTCTTACCACTTTTCTATCACTTGTCTTAGTGGAAAATATTTGTTTTCTTTCTCTGACAGGTTTCCACTTACACAGGTTCTAGCTTTTACTGTATATGCCAAAATAAATAAATAAATAAAATAAACCAAACCTGTTGCATCGAGTCAATTCCAACTCATTGTGACCCTACAGGACAGAGTAGAACTACCCCATAGGGTTTCCAAGGCTGTAAATTTATGAAAAGTAGGCTGTCATATCTTTCTCCTATGGAGCTACTAGTGAATTCAAGCTGCCAACCTTTCAGTTAGCAGCCAAATGCTTAACTACTGTACCACAGTGGGGTGTGTGCGTGTATGGTGGCACAGTGGTTAAGCACTGGCTGCTAACCAAACTACATAAATAAGGTAATTGAGGCACAAGATGTCAAGTTTAAAGTCAGCTAGCTGGTAAGAGAGCTTAGATTTGAACCACGTCATCTGACAACAGATTCAAAGCACTGTTTCCTGCACCACCCTGCCTTGCTGGAGGCAAATTCCTCTTCTGCAAAGACTTTTAATGGAGATAACAGCATGGTGAAACTGAGTTTCATTTGGTCTTCTTTCCAGCTTTCCTAAAGCTGAATGCATTTCTAACTCCAGAGTGTCTATTCCATTCTAATGTAGATTTGCTGCAATCAGTCACCAGGACAGGGGCCAGTAGAGACTTAACAGAACCTGGGTCAAGCTTGACTGTGCCACATCAGTCAGTGAAGCTGGGACTGAGATGAGACCCCAGGTTAAAGTCCATGTCATGGCTAGATATGAACAAGGTGGCTAAGAAGGAAGAAACTTAAAAAAAAAAATAAAAAATCACAATGATAATACAGAGCAATGCTAATAGCCATTTTTGGATGGTGGACATGTTCTATGCCTGTGCTGTCCAATACAGTAGCTGCTAGCCACAAGTGGCTACTGAGCAATGAAATGTGGCTAGTGCAACCGAGGAATTGGATTTTAAATTTTATTTCATTTTTAACTATTTAAATTTAAGTTGCCATATGTGGCAACCAGAATGGACAACACAACTGTAGAGAACACAAGGTGTGTCAGAAGACACAAGTGTTTGAGAAGAGGAATTTAGCAACCAGTTATAATTGCTTTGGAGTCAAAGCAAGAGACCTGATTTTGCATATTAGCTGGCAACTCTCTGCTCATCTGTGACACTCTGGCATCCTGGGTGCCCTCCCTGTGGCCTGGCCCAGATGACCCCATAGCCCCTCATTGAGTAACAGCATAGAGAGTTTAGTGTGTAGATGAGTGCATTCAATGTCTTCATTACTAATGAATCTACCTCTCTTGGTCTCTGTACCTTGTTCTCTCTCTGGCTGTCCCCATGACACATCTTTCTCTGTCTCTTGTTCTTCCATTTTACCTCTTTCCAATTATTTCTTCCTCTTTCCTTTCTTCTCCTTCTTTCCACCTCTTTTTTTCTGCCAAGCTTCTTCCTGCCTACATTTCTATTTCTCCTCCCCTGCCATGTCCATATGCCCTGATTCTCACCTGCCTTTGTTCTTCTGTCATTATTGAATGGTGTCCCTCTTTCTGTCTTTTCTCTCTTCCCTGCCCTCTTCTGTCCCTCTTCACCCCACCCCACATTCTGGGTTTCCCCATAACCTTGTCCCGTCTCATCCCTGTCTGCGTACAATTCTGTTCCATCTCTCTGCCTTGTCTCTCCATCTCTGTTCTGTTCTACCCTCTCTCCCGGCCCTACCTTCCTCTACTTCTCTGCCTGTAGATCTATGAGTATCGAAATGGCCACCAGGAGGTGGAGAGCCCCTTCCAGGGACGCCTGCAGTGGAATGGGAGCAAGGACTTACAGGATGTGTCCATCACTGTGCTCAATGTCACACTGAATGACTCCGGCCTCTACACCTGCAATGTGTCCCGGGAGTTTGAATTTGAGGCACATCGCCCATTTGTGAAGACTACACGGCTTATCCCCCTCCGAGTCACTGAGGAGGGTAAGGCTTGGGCACCAGGTCCCAAGGGTGCCCTGCTCTTGGGGGAGGGAAGATAATGGGTTTCCACACAAGTGAGAAACTTGAAGAGTGTAAAAACACGTATTTGGGTTGTTGTTGTTATGTGCCATTGAGTCGGACTCGACTCATAGCAACCCCTCCTTGGGTTTCTGAGGCAGTATCACTATGGAAGTAGATTGCCCAACCTTCCTTCAGAGGAGTGGCTGGTGGGTTTGAACCTCCAGCCTTCTGGTTAGCAGTCAAGTGCCTTAGGCACTATATTACCAGAGTATTTGGAAGGTGATATCTAAATAATTCACCATTGACCTATTTTCCTTTAGTAGCTGGCTTTTCTGTTCCTTTCTACAAAGCAGAAAGGCTTGGTGATGATAGAATAACCTCTTCCTGGCCTTTGGACTCTTATATTTAGAGCCTCTACAAAACCTAAAACAACCAACTCAGCTACCCCATCTTCTCTGAGCTGTGTTGAATCCCTGACCCAGTGGCCTGGGTCAGAGATTTTTCACAAGGTAAGGTTATCTAGAGGTTATCTATCCTCCTGCCTATAAGCAATACATACCTCTGTACCAGTGGTTCTCAAACTTTAGCAAGCCCCACAGTCTTCTGCAGGGCTTTTTAAAGCCTAGACTTTCTGATTCCATAGGTCTGGCCTGGAGCCTGAGCATTTGCGTGTCTGAAAAATTCCCAGGGGATACTGATACTGCTGGTATGGGGACCACATTTGGAGAACAACTGCTGTAAACCAAAGTTTGGCAATCTTTTGTTTTCCTCCACCATAATCACACATGTAGCCCTTTCTCTCACTATAGAACCTCATTCTCAATGGGACAGGGGAAAAAGTTGATAGGTCTCTGGTGTTTAGTTTAAAGGCTTCAGACTCCCACAGCTAGTTTCTTGCTAGGGTAGGAAATCCTTTCAGCACTCTAACTCAAATGGTCCTGCTGCAGCCTGAGTCTGAGAATCCTGAGAGTGGGGTTGGGGGGTACTCCTTCATTCCTTCAGTGGTCTTGTTCTGCTTTCAGTGGGCTCCAAGAACTCTTGAAAATGATCCTTCACTTGTCTAAAGAGTGAAATATGCATCTCCTTTTGTGTTTTCTCATCCAGGCTAAATGAGATTCCATTTTATTTAGCTTTTCTCAGACACCTATTGCCAACACTTTCTTAGCACTACTACTGCCCCAAGGTACAGTATGGTGAGCAGGCAAAAGGTACAGGATAAGAAAGAAGAGGCCCATTAAAGATGGTCAGGACTTTTCCTAGAAAAGGGATTCTAGGAATCCTGATTTCTAGTCTACAAGTTTATTTCTTACCATAAGTTATTCTGATAAATGTTACGAGTTTAAGCTGCTTCAAGGAGAAAGACATGTAACATATCAGACAACATGACTAAAATGGAAGGTAGGTTAATTTTGAAAGTGTAAAAAGACTATCAGGACACCTGAATCTAGACCTGCTGAGCCACTTCCTTCCTCTTAGCCTGTCTCTTTTGTGCAAAACAAAGAGGTTGGACTGGAAGCTCTGTAATGTACTTTTCCGTTCAGAAGTTCCTTTGTCCTCCTCTCTGTTTACACACCTCTCCTCCCTGGGGGCAGGGAGCCTGGTGCCCTCTGCTGGCCACTGTCAGGAACTGTTGGCTGGTGACAGCCAGAAGGTAGAAAGGTGCCTCTTTGTTTCCACCTCCTGCTCTCTCAGGCTTTTGCCTCCAGAGAGCCTAGTGAGCAACCAGTGGAAAGTGTGGCAAAGCTGAGCCAGTCTGCCTGCCAAGGACCAGGATAAACCTTGGGTAAGAATAGAAGGAAAACAAATTTGTTATCAGAGACAGACTCTGGGGATGTTAGGGCTGGAAGGAAGTGTGGATATCATTTAACCAGAGGTTCTGAACAAAGAGCGGGCATCAGAATCACTCATGGGGCTTTTCCTAAATGTAGAGCCTCTGCACGACTCTTGCAGTTGTGATTTCAGTAGGTTTGAGGTGAGGTCTAGCATGTGTAACTTGAAATGACTCCTCAGGTGATTGGAGGGTGCCATACTGGTGTTCCTCATTTAGTAGATAGGAGAACATAGTGTTGGAAGAGTGAGGGGTTCAGTTAGGGCCATAAAGCACATTTGCACCAGAAGCAGGACTGGAATACACCTTTTGGGGGGTGAGGGGCATGGGCGCAGAAGCTTTGTGACTCCTTGACAGCCCTCCCCATCAGAGACTCATTACTAAAATTACTAAATTGCTCAGAGCTATCCACTCCACCATGGTACACCCCGTTTCTCCTTCCTTGTGATCCAAGAGCATCTCGTCTTTAAACTTAGACCTATCTTGTCTAAGTCTTTCCTCCTCTGGATCTAAGACTGAAATCTGAGATCTTTTCACCTTGAAGTCATGAAAATCATTGAAGGCAGCTTCCTATGTTACTACTTCAGAGCTACTGCATTTTAAAAGAGATAGCATGCTTTAAGCCAGACAAACACATCATAAATGGTGTATTAGACAGTAGCCAGCCCATGAGAAGACATTTGAGGTGTGTGGTGTTTCTTGTGTGCTTCAAGCTGCATCTCTGATCTCTGTTAGGAAGCTTGAATGACCTTGGAGTGCTTAGACTGCTTCTCTGAGCTTGAAGATCATGGTTGGCCATGCTGGGCTTTAATGAGCAAGACCTTGAAGGTGAATTGGGGACTCTGGATAACTAATGACCATGAACATGATTTGCTGGTAGGAGATGGGGAGAGGAGAGATGACTGCCACCTTCCTCCCCATTTGTTGTTGTTGTTAAGTGCCGTCGAGT